GCACACAGGCCATCAGGTCCAATAGATAGAGATGGTTTTAGACTGTGTAGTGCTTTTTCGACATTATCTTCTGTAAAATCGATATATATTAGATCATTGTAATTGTCTGTGGTTCAACTATGAAATATTGGGCATGAGCCATTGCTGTTTACAAAGACTGAGCCAAAGAATGTGTTAAAGGGGTTGGCTTTAATGGTTTCATTGTTACAATCAGCTGTTAGGTCCTTTTAGGGGTTGGTTGTTGTCTTTACATGATATTATATATCTGAGGAACCATCTCTCCCTAATGGGACTAGCCTGCCCCACTCGCACCAGTGGAAGAGGTCTATTAAGGAATTCTAGCACAAAGGTTCAAGGAGAAGAACCTTTTCCACTGTGGCCCCATTCCAATGGAACACTCGATTACCAAACCTGAAAAATGCTTCTGACCTCTAGAAGATTATTAAAACTTGACTTTGTTGGTTGACCTGGAGACCTGAGCAGGACACTTACTGCTGTTATCGCTGACTGTTCATCCATCTCTTTATTATGAGTCAGTTTATTTTAAAATCTTAATCTGTATAGTTTTAATGTTTTAATATTTTAATTTCCCCCCACTTCTTTTATAGCTTGTAAGCTGCTCAGAATCACCTTATAGGGGAGATGTGTTGCATAAAAATTAATAACTAAAATAAAGAAATAAAATAAATCTGGGAATTTTCAGATGATACCCCATCTGGGCAGAAACACAAAAGGAAAACAATTGCTGGGCTTGTTTGATTATATAATTATACATTTGTAGTTAAGAAAGAAAATGACAACTTAGAAAAAATGATTTGTCTCAATTACTAGTGTTATATTTGTGTATTCTTAAATTATTAAAACCAAATGGGAACACTGAATATAGCAAAATACTTTAAAATGCAATGGTGCTCCATTAAGTAAGGGATTTAAATGTACAGTATCTAAATGAATGGATTTAATGAATTTAGTGAAGTAATTTAAATATAAAAAATGCTGTTCCTTGTCCTAATTTAAATATTGGAATATATAAAAAAATATTGGTCTCAGATGGAAATTTATGATCTAGGATGTGAAACTGAGTAAAACATTAATTTCAATAAGAATTTTTTTTAACATACCTTACATTTTACCTTTTGACCATATCCTAAGTTTGCAATATTTCCTATTAGTATCATTTTGTGAAAAAAGGAATATATCTGATTTCCACTCAATTAAAATGTCTATACGTCTGTGTATTATTAACAATTAAGGTTTCTTATTTATTTTGGTGCAACCTTACATTCTAGGTTTGAGAGGCTACAGAATATGATGAAAGCCTTTGTTTAGTGGCAAAGTATAAGATAAATACTATATTCAACATAACAAATACGATATAATAGTTTTTCACATTGTTAGAATGCTCAGTTGAAATACTGTAGAAACAGCCAAAAGAAATTGAATTGTAAGTGGATCATGCATGCCATATATGCTAGAAGACTATGGATATACAGATAGAACCTGAATTACAATGACAATGGGTATTGGTATTGCTATGTAATAATTGTAAAATCTGACATCACACAAAGCAGCATTGTAACAGCAATCTAGATACTCTTCATTGCTATGGTAACCACAAGATGTGCATGGGTCATTAAGTGAGAAGCAGTAGGAGTCCCAGATAAAGACCAAAGTGATACTATGGGGGTGAGGTCCTGGAACATCCAGGTCAGGCAAGTCGAGGGAGAGGGAGTTGGGGAAGGGTCATGCACATTGATGCATAGGTGTGAATACGTGTGGGAGAGTATGGGATATATATGTCTGAGCATGGGAGGGAGACCTACAAAGGAGGATCTCGCTTGGTGTGTAAGAAGGCAAGAGGGAGACTTACCAGAACAGCCTGTGACCGATCTTTTGAGCTTCCCTGTTGATTTTCCATTTGTGAAACTGGAAGGAAAAGTCACAAATAATTATTACAACTGCCTTCTATCAGTTTTGTTTTGGCATTGCTTGACCTTGGATGTATGTAGCATTTTTGTCAAATTAGTACTGTTTACCATATCTTAATGTTCTTCATTAGGTGTTGCTGCTAATTTGATACTTATTTTCTACTTGTCTCTTGTATTCGTCTCTTGTATATGGCTTTGCAAGTTTCTCTTAGGTTGCACTTAATATAAACTTAATTAGATGTTGCAGCAGTGGTCTACACTTTTGCAGTGATAGTAATCACTATAAGTTCATATACTTATTGCATTTGAGGGGGTTTATGGATGTTATGAACATATACCCAAGAATATATGAAACCAGTCACTAATAAAGATTGTTAGTATATTTTATGGACCAAAATCCTCAACAGGGATAAACATCTTTGCAGAAGGAATTCTACATGAAGGAACCTGGTGTCTCTGGTTAAAGGTCCTCAAGTAGTGTAACTGGGAAAGTTCCAAACAATTAGGATCTTAATTGGGATCTAACATCTTTGATCTGACCTCCGTCCATGGAATTCTTTCATTTTGTAATGTGTTTTTTATTTTGTCATTATGCTTTCCTGTTTTAATATTCAACATTATCTTTATTTTTTTATTTTGCTTATAATATACAGGACAAGAATAAATCACTTTAAAGAAACAGCTATAATTCTGTACAGCAGTGTATTGCTACATTTAATCTGTTTTGTCTGTTAGTGATACTGAAATAATTTTATTTCAGTTCTGGTATCACACAATTTTTTGTATAACAATAGCAACAACAATAATAAAATATTAAGAAATAAGAAAAAAAGGCCTTATTGCAATAAGGGGATGCACAAATTGAAGAGAAACAGCTAGAAAAATATTGTGATTTGCAAATTGAAGTTAGGGTTGCAATTGTGGAGGAAGAAATCAGTACGAGCTCTTGGAACAATACCCAAAGGGCTGCCTAGATACTGTTGGGCTCATGATGGAATCTATGTGCTCAACACTGAGGCAAGGGGTCCTGACGCTAACTAGCTGCCTCTCTCTTCCTTTTCGTGGCGGAGCTCCTACACCAGCTGGGAGCACACTGATAGAAGTGGCGCTGATCAGCATCAACACTGCGGCTGCACGAAACTGAGTGAAGCTGAAAAGACAGATTCATAGCTCTTAAGTGGTCTCTGTTTGGCAGTTGAAGCATGCTGAGAGGAGTGGCAAAATGTGGGAGCGATGTTGGCATAGGACTTACCTGCCTATTGCTTAGGAACGATTGATTGTGTGTGCAGGGTGTTGGAGGTGTAGGTGGTGGGTTTGATTAAGCATAAATAGGTGTGGGGTGGAGGCACGGGTAAAGAAGGGCGGATGTAGGTTAGTGGGTGGGGTTGAAAGACAACTATAATAGGTGTTGGGAGGTAGTAGCTCTCAGCACTAGCTTTGCTTGCAATTGATCCAGTGTTGCCTTTTGGGACTGATAAACTGAAGAAATAAACCCTCCTTACTTCAACCTTTACTTGTGAGTATTGTAGTCTGTCAGTAAAAGTTCTCAAGTGCCCAGCAGGGCTGACAGATACATGGAAATTTTGAAATTATTAGACCTGAATGTCTTGACTTTGCCCTTGGTTAGGACTTGAACTGCTAAGTTTTTACCAGTCTCAAACTGTGAATCGAACTGAAAATTAAATATATAAAAATAAAAAATAGTAGTAGTAGTAGTAGTAGTAGTAGTAGTAGTAATTGGAACCCTTGGAGCAATACCTAAAGGGCTACCTCACTATTTGGAAATTCTGAATTTATCAGACTTGAATACCCTGATTCTACAAAAAAACACCCTATTTGGAACAGCTTATATCATCCGACGCTATCTTAACAGTTCCTAGGTCCTTGGTTAGGACTTGAGCTGTTGAGCTACCAACCAGCCCCAAAGGCTGCGAATCTCACCAAAGATTAATCACCATAATTGTCAGAGTATATTCATGAACTGGAATAGAGCATAGTAACAAGGTCAGCCAATAATAGGCATAGCAACTAAATCAGTCAATGAGGATAGTTTGGAAACTGAAACTAGAAGTAGCCTAGGCTGGAAACTGAAACTAAAAGTAGCCTCTTTTATTAAGCTCTGCAACTCTGCAGCTATGTTTGAGTTCTGAGTCTGTCTACTGAGATGAAACTGCTTCTCTCCTCTTGCTTGTCTGCTGTCTATTGAAGATGAAACTAACTTGCTTGCTTGCTGAAGACTGGAGCTCTGCTCTGAACTTGCAACATGTTTCTGTTTGAGTTTGCTCCATGTTGGAGAAAACTACAATTGGTTTGTAAAATCTACTTATGTTTATAAAGATGTTAAATGAAGCATCAGCCATCTGTGTTTATTTTTCTGGCGCTGAATTACCGCTGCAAAATTAACAACAACAACAACAACAACAACAACAATAATAATAATAATGTGCTGCACCCACATAGTGACATTGACAGGCTATATTTGCCCAGAAAAGCAGGCAGCAGAGGACTTCTGCAAGTGAAGACTGTTCAAGAAGAGAAACATGCTCTGGCAGATTATGTGAAAGATAGTATTGAACCAGCTTTGATGGAGGTCAACAATAGGAAGCTATTCAGAGTGCAACAAACCAAAGATCAATATAGGAAAACAGCAATGCAAACTCATGCTGACAGCTGGTGTAACAAAGCACTGCATGGACAGTTCCTTGGAAAGATCCAAGGAAAAGTAGATAAGGAAAAGACCTGGTTATGGCTGACCAATGGAACACCGAAGAAAAAGACAAAAGGCCTGATTCTTGCAGTCCAAGAACAAGACATTAGAACAAATGCAATCAAACCCAGAATAGAAAAATCTGCTGATGACCCCAAATGCAGACTCTGCAAAGAAGTGGATGAAACCATCAATCACATACTGAGCTGTTGTAAAACAATCACTCAGACTGACTACAAACAACATCACAACACAGTCGCTCAGATGGTCCACTGCAATTTGTGTCACAACTACCAACTGCCTGTAGCAAAGAACTGTTGGGACCATAAGCCTGAAAAAGTGGTTGAAAATGAGCATGCAAAACTACTGTGGGACTTCTGAATACAGACTAATAAAGTTTTGGAACACAACACCCTGGATATCAGGATTGTAGAGAAGAAACAAGTGTGGATCGTCAACGTTGCCATACCTGGTGACAGCAGACTCAACGAGAAACAACTTGAAAAAAAATCACCAGATATCAGGACTTGAGAATTGAACTGCAGAGACTCTGGCATAAACCAGTACAGGTGGTTCCAGTGATACTCGGCACAATGGTTGCTGTGCCTACAGACCTAGGCAAGCACTTGAAAACAATTGGTGCTGACAAAATCACCATTGGTCAGCTGCAGAAGTCCACTTTACTGGGATCTGCTCGCATAATCCACCAATACATCACACAGTCCTAAACACTTGGGAAGTGTTTGACTAGTGATTTGTGATATGAAACCCAGCATAATTATCTTGTTTGCTGTGTACACTGTTTTTTGAATCATCATCATCATCATCATCATCATCATCATCATCATCATCATCATCATCATGTAATAAAAATATAAAAGAAGCCAAGCACTCTCTTTTAAATATATATTCTTAGAATTTTGTTATTTTGCTGATGTTAGCAAAATGTGGTTGATAGCAATATGTCATGATAGAATATATAGTTTCAGTTGTACTTGCTATTCTCAAAAAGAAGTATATGCAAACTATTAATGTATAACAACTGTGATTGTATTATGACCTTTCTATTCAGAACCAAGAAACTAACGTTTATTTAACAAAATAATAATTCTACAACATATGTACAATTTTAGGCTTTCTATATTGAAATATAGTTCTGACATTGCTTATCTCCAGTGGCTGCTTAAAGATGAACAATCCAAAATTACAGCACAGGTGGCTAGATTCTGTGCAGCATCACGGAAACGTGTCAAACCCACTACAACTATTTTATACAATAAATATGGCAAATCCTTTTTCATTTCATGCTTTTTCATTTTCCTTTTAGTAATAAACTGAATATGGGCTACAGAGTTTATGGATTGTAATTTTAGTATAGTTAGATCATGTATAATTGACAGACTGGATTTTATCATAGATTTTATCTGTTACTTATTATTTCGTACTAGAATTTTTAATTGTATATTTATTGAGTGTTTTTATTTGTTCTGGTCTCTGGTCTATGACAGTAATAAATTCTGACATATTGAAATATGAATGGTATATATTAAAATAGTTCTTTGGCTTTAATTTCTACTAATATTTCTCCTTCCTTTTCCTGATACAATACATATCAGACAATGAGAGTTTGTCATGGACATGGATGCTCATGATTTTGATCTTGTTCTTCCTAAAATGGATAGACTAGTTAGAAAGAAACATTAGATAAGATTTTTTCTTAGTATTTTAGTATTTATTTGATTTGTCAATCGCTTACAAGATACAGGTATAAGAATAAACATAGTTTTGAATACATGAGATAGATACTTATAAGAAAAAAATAAAAAAAAACAATAGGATAGGGATGGTAGGCACGATTGGTGCGCTTATGCACGTCCCCTACAGGCCTCTTAGGTCAATAGTAGACAGTCTAAGGTTAAAGTTTTTGGGGTTTGGGAAAGAAACCATAGAGTCAGGTAGAGCATTCCAAACATTGACCACTCTGTTGCTGAGGTCGTATTTCCTTCAGTCAAGTTTGGTTGGTTAACCTTGAGTTTGTATACTTCAGCTTCAATCATAACAATACAAGAGTGTTGTTATGATTGGAGCTGAAGTATTCATTTGCAGGTAGCACATTGCAATGTATGATTTTATATACTATATTTAGATTGGACCGGAGGCGGCGTAGTTCTAGTTTGTCTAGGTCTAGAGTTTCAAGTCTGGTGGCATAAGGTATTCTGCAATGAGTAGAGGATAATAGGCCATGTCTCTGCTTAACCATTCTCGTTGTACAGGTTCATCTCCTTCATGTATGCTAACCTACATGGCCAATAGAGATTTTTAAAGTTATACCATTAGGCCCTAATTATCACAATCTTACCCTTACCCTACAGGGCTCCCCAAACTTGGCAACTTTAAAAGTTGTGGACTTTAACTCCTAGAATTCTCCCAGAAGCATAGCTGGCTGGAGAATTCTGGGAATTGAAGTCCACAAGTCTTAAAGTTGCCAAGTTTGAAGACATCTGCCCTATTAGATACTCTACTTCAATTTATTCCTAAATGTGAACTTGTGAGTGAGATGATTGCATTTAATCTTGGGACAAATTGAAGTTTCTGTATAAATGTGCTAGCTTTTTAGAATATTTTTCCTGCCAGGATTTTTGAAGGCTTGCCTTCTAATATTAATAGTTGTCTGTGTGGTTTTCTTTCCCATGTGGTGCAGTGGTTAGAATGCAGTACTGCAGGCTACTTCTGTGACTGCTGGACATCTGCAATTTGGCAGTTCGAATCTCACCAGGCTCAAGGTTGACTCAGCCTCTCATCCTTCCAAGGTCGGTAAAATAAGGACCCAGATTGTTGGAGGCATTATGCTGACTCTGTAAACCGCTTAGAGAGGACTGTAAAAACTTTGTAAAGTGGAATGTATGTCTAAGTGCTATTGCTATACTGTACATGTACAGATTTGTGAGAAAAATGTAGAAACCGCCAAAAGAGGAAAAGAAGAGGTAATAAAACACATTAAAATTGTTCAACAAAGTAGTTTAAGTAAGATTATATAGTTAAGAACAAAATAGGTCCTAGAATCTAAAATATATTTTTAAAATTTCCTATTGGATAATTGGATCTACTGGGTAGCAGAAAATAAAATTTTCAGAAGTTGAAAAGAAGAAATAGATGAAGAAAACTAAAATATCTGGAAATAGGGGTTTTTCAAAAAAAAAAAAAAAAGGATAGACATAGTATGTCAGTGTAGCTGTATTGAAGCAATGTGATAGGAGAACGGATTTAAATTATAAGTTTTATTTATTTACTTTAAAAATTGACTGTAGAAGAAAAATTAAGCAAAAGAAATGAAAGTCATGAGAAAATGAAAATGAACCATTGCAAAAACAATTTGCCACCATTTACTACCATATATCTCTAAACATCTTCCTATATTTACAAACCATCCTTGCCTCCACCAAATCCATGTAATATTTTATATTGTTTTCTGTTCTTTAGGTATTTCACTTCTCTAGTTAATCTTTTAACTCCAAATAAGTACAATTTACTCAGTCTTTCACTTTTTCATTGCATATTGACTCTTCTATCATATATTTGTTTCGTGAATCAGTGCACATTAATTTCCCATATATGATTAAACCATGTCAACATACTTCTTTAAATTGATCACTAACTCTTGTATTAAGTTATAGTCACTCAGCAATGATTATTTCTTGAACCCATCTCTTCTTGCTTTAACACAAATAACTTCTTAATTATACCATTTCCATTATAGTCAACTTAATTTTATGTTTCTTATCACATATCGAATTCTTACTTTCGAATAATAAAGTGGATACTAACATACTGTTAACATATAGCCAGCTTCACTTTTCAACAATACTCATCCTAGGCCTTGTTTTGGGGGGTGACTTAATTTCTTCCCCCACACACTCTCAACTAGAGCGCCCCACAGGCAGCCATGCCTCACCACCATCTGCTCGGCCAGGTCAGCGGGTGGCCAGTGGCGGCATGGATGTTGGCCTCGGTGGCGGGAGGGCACTTTGCACTGCTGCCAGTTTCCCTTCTGCCCTCACTGCGACTTATGCTGTGTTTGGACAGCTGCCATTGGACAAGACACGGAGGCTGGAGTCCGTGCTGGACATCATGGCATGGCCGTAGCGGAGAAGTGGCCCTTCCAGTGGGTAGAGGAATGGTTTGAGTGCATTCCTCCGCCGGCAGCATTTCAGCCGCTTCTCGGGCAGGTGAGCCGCCTCCATAGCTTCCACAGTTCCTGCCGGTGGTGGTGCATCTCTCACTAGCACCGTCTCCAACAACAGCGGCAGCAGCGGTAAGACAGACCCTGCTGCTGACGAGAACTGCCTGCCCTCCCACAGGGGCATCACTTGGCTTGACAGCAGCTGCATCGACAACATCCTGCAAGTCAATGAGTCATTCGGGCTTCGGTGAGTGGAAACGGCAGCAGGAGGGTGATGCCATTGTTTCTCTTCCCCCCATGCCTCACTTTGCTTCCCACCCCAGAGCTTTGGGTCACGGTCTCGTCCCTGTATGGTTGGGCACTCGTCTTGCTCCAGCCGCCCACCCCCACCCCCATGGACCTTTTCCCCATCTTTAAGTTTTCTTTACTCTCATTCCCTCCGTCAGTTCCCTAAGAATACAGACTGGCTGGGCAGCTTCCTCCCCACTCCCGGTAGTTTTAAAAAGGGAACCATCTATCCATTTTGCCCTTCAATCAGAGGCAAACCTTCCAATCCAAACATAAGAGAAAGGGAATCATCCTACAGACACTTAGCACCAAGCTTCCCAGAGGATTCTCCCGAAGGATTCACCCAAAAGAAGGATTCACCCCCTTAAATGCACTCCCCACCTTCATCTCCTTGAAGGGCAGAAAAAGGATGGAAATCCACCTCCTGGATTTCTCCTGGCACATCCCAAAGACACTCTTCCCTCTCTCCCTCCCTCCCTCCCTCCTTCTTTCCCTTCCAAGCTTCCCAGAGACTTCTCCCAAAGTATTCACCCCAAAGGAGGATTCACCCAAAGGATTCATCCCAAAGGAGGGTGGTCTTTGGGATTTGCCAGGAGAAATCCAGGAGGTGAATTTCTGCTCAAAGGGCAAAATGGATAGATGGTTCCCCTTTTAAAATTACCGGGAGGTGGGGAGGAAGCTGTCCAGCCAGTCTGTATTCTTAGGGAACTGACAGAGGGAATGAAGGTAAAGAAAACTTAAAGAGGGGGAAAGGGTCCACCGGGGGGGGGGGGTTGGGCAGCTGGAGCAAGAGGAGAGCACCCAACCATACAGGGGACGAGACCTTGACCCGAACCTCTGGGGGCAGGAAGCAAAATGAGGCACAGGGGGAAGAGAAACGATGGCATCACCCTCCTGCCGCCGCTTCCACCCACCGAAGCCCGAATGACTCACTGACTTGCAGGACTTTGTCAACGCAGCCACGGTCAAGCAAAGAAATGCCCCTGCGGGAGGACAAGCGGTTCTCATCGGCAGCGGCGTCTGTCCTGCCAATGCTGCAGCTGTTGTTGGAGATGGTG